GAGGGTCCCGAAGCCGCCAGACCCCCCGGCCACGCCCGCCGGGGGACAGAAGAGAGGAGCTCTGCGGAGCGCGTGTCGCTCGACGCGGGCTCCAAGATGCGACTGGGCTGCCGACTGTCAAGGGGCTTGGTCAAGACTCCGCAGCCCCACTGCAGCTCTGACGTCAACCAAGGTGCGAACACTGGGCCCCTTCTGACGCACGGCCCCGGCGCCGCCCCCCGGCCCCCGCGCCAGCCCCCGCCACCGCTGCTTTGCGAGCCCCTTCCTCCCGCTCTTAAAGCGCACACTTCCTGCAGGCGCCGCCCCACGCGGCCCCCGCCGGAATCGGAGCTTGGGGCAGGGACTCCGCGCCAAGCTTCAGCTTTGGGAGAAATGGGAGCCAAATGACCAGTTGAAAAATGTCTGGCCGAGCAACATGTGAATGCAGGCGAGGAGACCGGCGTTCAAGGGGTTAATCGAGCGCGCTCGGTTGCCCGGAGTCTGCAGTGAGGGTGCCTCAACCAAAAGCTGCTTTTCAAAGATCCGTTTACTCAGGGCTAAGACACTGTTTTAAGGTTGCTATCTCGTCCTGCGTTTCACTGCCCAAAGAGCAAGCATAAAATGCATCCTGAGCCCCCTTTAACAAAGCGAGGACCTAGGCTCCTTTAAAGAGGCAAGGTATTCAAAGCCTTATGTTGCACAAGAAAGGATTTACGAATATTAACAAATGTCTATTAATCCTCAGTTACATTCACTGCCCTGTCTCCTACAAATGCGGTGGTGAGCAAAAACAATTAAGTCGTGAGGGACACAAAACTAAATCAGACACACTACTTAATATATACTAATGATATGTGATAAAGAAAATAATCGTTACCTAAAAGAGGGACAGCCTCTGAAAGCAATCTTTTCTCTCTCTCTCTCTCTCCTCTCTCTCTCTCTCTCTCTCTCTCTCTCCTCTCTCTTTCTCTCCTCTCTCTCTCTCCTCTCTCTTTTCTTCTGCAGACAGGGTGTCCACTAAATAGCCAAGGCTGGCCTCAAACTTTCAATTCTCTTGCACTGGCCTCCTCACCAGGAGTACAAGCATGGCTCACGGCTAGGTAGCCATGCTTTGTGTAATAATCTTGATGGCTTTAGAAGGAGCTGTTGGTGTTGCCTTTCTGGAAACTCATCCCAGCCACTCAACCCAACACACGCCAGGCAAAACCCTCCCAGTCCCTAGATTGTTAAACACCAAAAACACAGATTTCTTTCAGAGAAACTGTTTTACACAAATCAGCCTTGGGATTATCAAAGAAACCCGATCATACATTAACCCAGCCCTCCGGACATAACTGTACTTCAGCGAAGGCACGCTTTTTTCTTTTTTTTTTTTTTAAATCTTCCCACTGCAACATCTCTGAAATCAGAATGCATCTTGAAACTCGGGGCCTCTTGATTTTGTTGGCCAGGTGGCAGTATTGCTTCCACATACAAAAGATGTATGCAGCTGTTCAAATTGTCCTTGTTTCAAATAAGTAAAATGCATTGTTTAATGAAACCCACAAGGAAGGGAATTATCAGACATCGGGTGTCGTTTTAACTTGAAAACAACGCGCAAGCTTGTGCGCGCTCACACACAGCCGAGCGCACACGTATGTACATACATACACACACACAAACAATAAACTTGAGATTTTTCTGAGGAACGGGGTGATTTTTCTTAAAAAGAGGATTTTTCTAAAGCCAAAAACAGTTTCTCCGGGTCTTTGAAATAAGGGTGATAGGATGGGCTGTCTGTTACCTTGGTGACAGTGCCCAGTTATTCACCGAGGATATTAGTTCTCTGTGTTTTCGGGGTGACCTGTAGCTGAGACAAGCCAGCTGGGCAACGTGCCACAGCCTGGGCTACATAGCTAGACCATGACTTAAAAAACAACACACATGCACATACAGCTATAAATCTAATTCTGTGCCCCCCCCAAAAAAAACAACTTGACTATCTGACTATCTGTCATTTTTATTACTGATTGCCAGCCTGATCACTTATAATCCCTTTTAAACTTTTAATGGAAAACACTGAAGAGCAATAGCATGGCTTGGATGTCCGTCTACTTAGATGAAGAAAACGCTGGCATCAAAATTCGAGGGAGGGGTACGGTCAGCTGCTTGAATGACTAAGCTCTCGTACATTACCAGCCATTCAAAGCGTTTAGAACTCATTTTCACTGTATTATATGGAGGGTCAGCGGGCATGTGTAGGTGTGCGAGGCACAGAGCTCGCGTGTGCGTCACAGAGCCCCAGTGGAGGTCAGAGAGCTGAAAAGAATCACATCTCTTCCTCCATCGCGAGTTCCAGGGCTTGAACTCCTGCCGGCAGGCAGGTTTGCAAGGCGAGCTGAGTCATCCGGCCCATCAGCCCATCACCGGCATTTTGTATCGCAGCAATCAACAACTGACTCAACGTGTGAGTCACCAAAATTAAAGTCTGAATGCCAGAAAGTTTTCAGGGGGGGCATTTTAGCCAATTTTACTTCTACTTCTCCTTATGTGCATTGATGTAGGAAAAATAACAACTCTCCCTGTGCTGAGGGTTGACGCACAGAACTTTCTTCCAGTATGATACTATCCAGCATTGCGAAGAGGAGAATGGTGGGGGGGGGGGGGAGTCACGCTTCGTCGGATTTGCAGCCCATTCCGATCAAACTTCCATCTGCTGGTAACAAGTGATGGGAGGGGTCGTGATCAATAAGAGTAAGATCAAGCGTTGTGACATCCTTTTCAATACATTATAGAGCTCTACACAGCAGGAATTCGTCCACAATTCCTTGGTCAACAGGTCTGCTTGCACCCTCTCCTCCTCAGTATACCTGGTCTTAGGACAACAGGATCCTAGCTTTGTATTCTCTCAGATTTTCTTCCCCTAAATAAAAAGAATGCTCATCTATGTCCAGAAATCATTTCCACGGTGTCTACTTTCCGATTGTCATTTCAGCTAACATTAGGTTGATGTCTTATGGGAAAAACTGTACAGGCAATCTAGAACTCACTGTTGAGTCACAAAACAAATTTAGACTATCATCAAATTGGGGGTTTTGTTATCCCTTCCCAAAATCTATTGTTGTGTCCTGTATTGTACCTATTCATGGTCCACGGGGTCATTCTGAAGCTTTCAAACAATGGCCTGGCGTTTTACCATTTTAAAGAGTGTGGATCAGGTATAGGGAGGGACACATGCCTGT